CCCCCACTCTCCCCCACCCCCCACCCCATTTCAAGACTCCTAGATAAGCCACTGCTTTTAATCAGTGTAATTCAACTCAGAATCTTTCATATTTATCAAACTATGACTTCATAAATACTTTCACTATTATATATTAATTGACCTGTCATACAAATTAAAATATATTTTGACACCTCACCCACATTAATTTGTCATAAGAAATTAACAAATAACATTGGATATCACATTTTCATTTTTAACCTTGCTGCCTGTCTTATGAATTTTTTTGTAAGGTTTACATAGCTTGCACATTAGGGAGATTTTGATTACACGTTGACTGTAGGATGTAGAACATAATAACGTCACACAAAGGTATCTGCGCATGCGAGATCATTGAGTTCTCGTAGTCACATGGATTCTAGGATGCGAGTTTAGCCAAATCTATGTTGTGCAGAGGACGTGGGAGGGTCGCGCATGCATGAATCTGTCCTCGCATCATGTCTATCGAGCAACACAACAGCTTCCTATTATATTTTGAATACAGTATTTGACCATATCAATGACAGGATATGATGTACCGTATCTCATAATGTAAACCACTTGTTCAAAAGTATCAAAGTAGAAAGAATTATGCCATTATTACCATTTATTTTCGAACTATCTTTAATTATACTATACAATACAAAAATCCCCTTATATCCCTATGTGTAAAAGCTTATGGTTATAAATATAAATGCGTAACACATGTGAATTATGTTACTATACCATTGAAAAAAACAAATTATATATTTTCTTAATGGTTATTTGTATCCCAGGAGCTTGACTCTGCAATTATATATTTAAGTAATTTGGAAATAATATATACACCTGGGAAAGCGGGATAAAATTAGGTTAAAAGCACATAATTTCAGAAAGTAAAAGCATAATGTTCATAAAATATCTGCACAGGTGTTTAATCAACTGAGCCATTGTTTTAAACTTATAAAAACAATTGGATTATTGTAAACCATTTACACTAATCAAAGGATTACTATGACCTTAGTTTCGCTTAGTGTTATTTTGATATTTTTATGTACAGTTTTTGATATAATAATCTAAATGCATTTATAATTTGCTGAAGATGTATGATCCTTTAATCCAAATTAGCATCGCATGAAATATACAGTTATTAAGTGTGAATATGCTTCAATTTCGTTATCAACTGTTCTGTTTATTTGTACGTACCCAAATATAATTTTAGAATATACTTGAAATGAATTATGTATTTATTTTTTTCCTAAGTTTAGCCCCAATCCAAACATATGACTACTGTAGGCTCGACTCAATGTCTAACACAATTGCTATGGAATATACAGTATTGTTAGACAACCTCCCACAAAATTCCATACTATTTATTTTCATGATAAAAACGATCCAATTCATAGAGATTGTAAAAATGTAAGGATTGTAAGTATCTTTAGAAAGGTTTAGCAAATAATTGCATATAATTGATTCTAGTTGCTCTTATTGACTGGATTATTCGTAGCAGGGTCACCAACGAGCAGGTTAACAGCATGACCCTCCCATCTATACTCCAGGGTGAAGAGAGGCAAACGTAAGTAAAGTGTCTTGCCCAAGGGTACAAGCAAAGCGATGAGCGTTGGTCTCAAACTCCCGATCAGTCCAACACCTTACACGCTGCGCCGCACGCTCCTACAGTACCGTACCTTAAAAGCCTGCTTAACATCGACATCGTTCGTCTCCTTGAAACCTAATGGAATCATGGGAACACTTTCCATGATGCTGTCCGTTTGGTATGGAATCACATCGCTATTGATTTCTGCGAGTTCTTCTTTTAGCAATTGTAGATTTGAGTTGACAAAGCTCAATTCAAGTGCTACTTGTTCTTTTAACTTTTTATTTGATGCAGCTCTGAAAAAGTAGAAATATAACAAATTATTTAATTGGTTCCATTATAATTTATTTTATAAACAAATGTATTTAATGAAGTTCTTGAATCTTGGATCTTGAACCTTTACAAGGGAAAATTAAGGGAAAACGAGTAAAGGGAAGACAATTAATTAAGTTCTTGGACTGAATTAAAAGTTTATGCAAAACCAACTCTACAGCAGACGTTACTGATTGGGTAAGAAATCACCAGTGTTGGAAGCTCTCGACTGCCGAAGAGTGCATCACGTATCACACTTGTAGGAGAAGATTAAAACCAAATAAAAAAGTAGAATTGATTTTTCATTAAAAAATTTAAAGTAGTATCTATTAATTCTTTATTTTCTGATATAGAAATTTGAAAGCAAGACTTGTTTACATTAAAAAGCAGTGACAAGCTCATTGCATTATCTTCTTATTGAGCCTGCAAATTAGTTTACAGTATCATTAACACTGTAATAACATAAACATGACGCCATGGTACTGACTAGTCTACTCTCATACCACCGACATTATTTAAAATAACAGTAAAAATACATGGAAAAAGTAATATCTGTACTACATTATCATAGAGTTGAATTTGAAGTACTGTATACTTCTAAAAATAACTTTTCAGTAAGTTTCATTATCTTTTTTGAAGCAAAAGAAAGATTGTTAAAAAATCATCATATTTGTGCATATTTCATATGCATGCTATCCTGAATCTAGTGTAGCTAGGCATCATATGCATGCTATCCTGAATCTAGTGTAGCTAGTCATCATATGCATGCTATCCTGAATCTAGTGTAGTTGTCACATTATTTGAGCCATACCGCAAAGTCGGTTTATTAGAACCACACAAATAAAGCCACGGCCTATTTTATAATACTACTTTACATAAAGTGCTACTGTAATAGTATTTTATGTTCACTACATTGAGTATTTGAATATTGTTTCAAATACAATAATTGTGTATGCTTGCCCACAACCATTACCCTAATACTCTGTATGCAAACAATACTACAAAAGATGTAAAGAACTTGTGTAAACCGCTGTCCATAAAGTATGACGCCATTCTGTCTTGCTCTATTTATTTGTAACAATTGCATCAACGCCTTTAAGGAGGAGAGAGGGTTGGTACTGTAAATCAGACAACAGAATACCAGTCACAATCCAACAAATATTTCTAATCATACCTTTACCTGAGCCATATGTTAGGTGTCATGCTAGGGTTAAGCAAATCTTAAAGATTGTCACCAACATAACTAAGAGATTATTCACAATTATTTTCACAAACAGTATGCTAGAGGGTAGACAAATTTGTACATTTTAACATACATAAAAATGTTGATTCAATATTTACATTGATATTTATAACCAATTATAAATGCAACTATGGATATAATATATATCTTAATGCAATAAAGTACAGTGCTTTAGTTGACTTCACAAACAATTGGAGAATGGTTTTAGCAAAATCAGCATATTTGATGTACACTTTCAGAGAGAAGGGAGTGAGTACAGTAAATAGTACACTTGCGGAAATGTTGGTAATTGTGAACAACCTCTAAAAATTTGATCAATTCATGCTAGAGAAAATGGTTGTATATTTTATTTTGGGTTTTGTTTTAAAGATCTATCTGTATTAAATTTAGAAAAAAAAATAAAAACCCCTGAAATATATGTAAATACAGTGTATCCTCAACTACGGGACAACATTTGGGGCCTCACAATGTGGGGTGGTCTCTGGGTTTGGTTTTCAATTAGAGAGTTACTGGCAGCTTTTTGTTAAAAAATTAAGGATTGTTATTCAGTACTTTTAAAAAAGTAGTCTTTAATTAGAGGGAACTTAAATTGGAGGGTGCCCTGTACACTGAATTTATGCTATTGCAAATTATTAGTATTATAAACATAGCCTACTTATGCTATGGTATGTTATGTTACAATACAAGACAAGGAATATTAAAAAAATTCACATTTACAAACAGAATTAAAATTGAGATATGAGATAAGAAAAAAATTACTTTTTTTTTTATAAAGAATTTAAAAAGCTTATGTAGTTAAATCAATCAAAACATTGAATAACAATTTTCAATAATTGTTTATTCTGGTAAATGTACCATAATTTTGAAATATATTTAATTAAAATAACTCTCTGCAAGTTATGTACCATTACCCGTAAAAAAATTGTTATGTAACTAAAACGAAACAGTTTTACTCGGCGGGTTAAATACATGCAGTACAGTTTATTTAGACACTCCCAGCAGTGAATCAGTTATCAAAATAATATTAGTGTGTGCGTAACTCCACAATAAAAACACACTACTACAATATGTCATTTGAATTTCTTCAGTATAGGATCTAACAATACCTACTGATGCGAAATTAATTCACAATAAACAGATATTAAAAATGCATCGGTATCCTGCTGAACTTGAAATAACAGTAAAATGAATTCACTCAAAATTTTACCATAGACACGCTATTTTGTGATAACTTTTATACTATAGCAATTTTTTTCAAATATGGTAACTGTATGATGCATCTGACACACTTATAATGTTAAGAGTACAGTATTCAGTAAATCTAGGTCTCTATCAGAAGTTGTCAATTACTATTAAATATACAGTAATAATAAACAGATTAAAATTCTGATGTATTTTAGTTGTCGCCATTCGGAAAATGTCATTAGTTCTACTACAAATTCCAGAGTGATATTTGTCAGCATATGCCTCGTTAATAATTGATTAAATATGCCTTACTTTTACTGTGTGTACTTTATAAATACAAGGGAACTTCATTTGAAAAAGGAGAGAAATATAGATTCATCCAACTCTTTATTATTATCTGTTATGTCAATGTTTAATTAATGTTTTCCTTTGCTTCCCAATGTTCTTGTTTAAATCGTAGCCAACAATAAAGATGTCATAAAATTTCCCTCCTAATCAAAATCTTCAGATAAAAAGATAAAGCTTCAAGATTTCAAATAAACTACTCCTTATAAAGCATTATTTATAAAGAGAGTATGTTATATAAGAGAAGGGTCCCAAATGATCAGTTCTCCACTTAACAAAACCTGACAACAAGACTTGATTACAGAGCAGTGTTCCTCAAACTTTTAATTTCATGGCCTATTTGAGATTCTAGGCATCATGCCTCAGTCCAGCTGTGCCAGGGACCAACATACAAATACTTGGCAAGAAGTTCTGATCATGAAAAATACATACATGTTATATACAATAATTTGACATCATTATATGTTGTATTAGTGACAAAATTTTGTATATAAACTGCATATTCACTCTATCAAAGAAGCTGTTTACAAAAGCAAATATTTGTTTTCTCTTGGGCGACTTTGCAGCCCAAAAATTGGCCACAGCCCATAGTTTGCGGACCGCAATTATAGAGTATTAAGCTCACCACTCCCCAAGTTTCTTATTTTACAGAGCATCTGGGGTCACAAAATGATCACCCATGTTTAAAAAAATGGTGTAAAAATACAATAATATAATAATAACTTAATGATTAATTCCGAAAGTACATGTTTGCTAGTGTTATTTTTATGGAATTGTCTTTCGAATGTCTTGAAAAAGATGGCTATTTGTAACAGTACCAGCAAAATTGGCGAAAGCTACTGTATTTCCCTGCACGGACTAAACCGAAACTTGTGTGAAATTTACTGAAATTTTTTTTTCGTATTTGTTTAATTCTGAAAGTTTATTAAAGAATGAAACCATAGTAATTGTAAAAACATTGATAAAATAACCAATAATTAGAAAGTTTACACAAAGCAAGTCACAACAAAGTTTACTATACGCAGTAAATTAATTGCAACAAAGCAAATTTAACCAGGGTTCCATACACATCAAAGTTATTGTTTATGACCTGTGGCAAAAGTGGAAGAAACACACAGTATTTGTGTTTTCATGTGTGATGTGTAATTTACCTGTTTACCTATAAAATAGATTTTCACATGAGAACTGGTAGATTTAGTAAGTAGTTAGTTATTTTCTCTCTGTACACTCAATTAGGTTGGTCAAGGACTTAGAAAATACTAAAAGTAAACATGCTCAGGTAGATTAAATGCACACCTTTGAAAATTGAAAAAAAAAAAACTATTTACAAAATTTACTTGATGCCAATTTTAATTTTAATAACTTACATCTATTATAATATGTCTTATATTTAATGCATTTAAATAAATGGATAAAAGTTGATATTGTACCTGCTTATTTACAGAATTATTCTTAAGTAGTGCAAAATAAAGCACATGGTCTGTATGAGCTGCTGTAAATAGTAATTTGGAAAAACAAAATTTGCAAACACTATTTACAAAATTATCTTGATGCAAATTTAAATAATTTACATACGTTTAGTATGTCTAATGCATTTACATAAATGGTTAAAAGTTGATATTATAGGCCTACTTTCTTATTGACATTTCATAGAAATTACAGAATTATTCTTATATGAATAATAATAATATCATCCTCATTATTATTATTACATTTGGTTATTTATACAGCGCCTTTATTTGTAGATACGAAGCGCTTCTGTCCCTGGTCATTGGATCCACATGCTTAAGTGTTGCTGCCGTAATCAGTGCAGGAGCAAGCAACCCCACCAGGTACCCATTTATACTCCTGGGTGGAGAGAAGCAATGTAGATAAAATGCCTTGCGCAAGGACACAAGCAAAGGGATTGAATTTTCCTTTTGAATACTGTGTGCGAATGTGTCATTCTTTAATTTACATTCCAAACAAAAAGACATAATTCCCAAAGCTGCTTAAATTTGACTACTTAATAATAGTTTCCTCATTACCTACTGTACGCCAAGGAAGTTATGTATTTCACTGTTGTATGTCAGTCTGTTCAAGATTAAGCAAACACTAATGAATGGATCATCATAAAATTTAGTGGAATGGTACATAATAATAATAATCAAAAAGACACCTTTTACATTTGGTAGAAAATGTCGCAGGACAAGATTAGGGTCAGTAAAATTA